TTCCCTGTGTATCATCAATTCCTGTCACCGATTGCACTATGTCGTGACAGCACTGTTGTTTATCGCTTCCACGCATGGGAAAATCGAATATCAATAAGCTTGAACGATCTCGATCGGTCCAGTAGTAAGTAGGGAAATACATACTACATACACATGGCTCAAACAACGCGCTCGAACTTTGGATCAAAGTCTGCACAGACACGCAAACACACACTGGACGTGACATCATGAACGTTCAATGGATTAACTCACCTTAATTCAAGAAGCTTCGCATGCACACGTCACAATCGTTACAGCGACGTGGAACTTCTGAGGGAAGTGTAGACACGTACTTATGGGTTTCTACGAACCAACATAAAACCAAGCAGTTATACAGGGGGAAGTCCCAGCCCAGAGTGATTGATAAGACTGAACCTCTATTTGTCTCTTCGTGATCAAGTATGGCTGCTTCTTCACAGTAAGTATAATTTCACTAGATGTTTGGTTCTGTAATTGTACACACTGACATATTTCAATGCCATTAATACATTCCAATTTTAAAGATCAAATTACAGTTTGTAATGCAAATATATATATATGCGGATACCAACTGAGCTTAACCGATAAACAAGGTAAAATTTTGAGTAGCCTAGGTGGTCTACAAGTGACTGCCCTCACACTTTAAATATCGTTCTGGTCATTTTTAACTTTTCAAAGATGGGGATGTGCTTATTACTATACATATGCAGTGTTGTATTGACGTGTAATTTGGTACAGGGGGATACAGGTGAGATTATGTAAACCAGTTTTTGATTTAACTGGTGAAGTTTGAAATTTCGACATGTTTCTCGCAAGTGTAAGTAGCTTGTACAGTTTTCGTTTGTTCTGTGTTGCACAGTAAACGTCAGTTTAATACTGGGACTTCGCTGGGTATCGCTGGGTATCGCTGGGTATCGCTGGCATCGCTCGATGTGAGCGTGTTATGATCTTTTCTCGATAATAAACTAAAACGTGTTGTGATTTAGTGGTCGTGTGAAAGCGCCCTCACAGGTAGTTTTGAAATTCAGTGTACTGTGACACCATTTATTAATATTTTCACTATTTTGAGCAATTTCATTGGCTTTTATGTTCACAAACTTGGCAGGAAAACAATTAGTTCTATTGCTGTGAGTTTATGTGTATTTTATTTAACTACGGTATACCAGTGAAATTAGCGAAATTAAAAACAAGTGAATATATAATGCATTAAGTACAAATCTTGAGGTGTGTTCAATGAGTAAAAAAAAAAAAAACCTATCAAACAATCCATATTTCTATCGCTAGCATTATGTACAACACTAACAACACTATGAGTTGTTTCGCCGGCATAAGAAAACGCTGGAAAGATGAAAAAAATATTTTGGGTCACTTAATGCAAATCACATTATGGGGACGTGTCGCCCTTTTTTTTTGGGGGGGGGGGGGCGTATTTTAGCTTTTCGGTCTAGAATGAGTATAGATTTGCTTGCCTTTTGGTTCAATATCACGTTTACCCGTCTAGGATAGGGTCTGTTTTCGGGACAGGGGGCTCAAGAAACATTCAATCCCTTGGATTCATTCATTCAGATTGATTAGTCTAGGTGATGAGTAGTTTGTACTAAGTAAATAAATTTAGTGACAATTTGTGTCTCTGATGGGATATTACAAAATCACTATTTGGTCTAAAAAGGGGTATGGTTTTTGAGGTTAAAATGGTCTATGATATGGGATCTGGGGTTTTACACTTCGGCCACACACCCCTACCAAACTTAAAGGCCAGTGTCTCCCTCGGGAGTATTACCATGGTTTATAATGTGCGAAACAGATTCAATGGTCAATTTAGATGAAGTAAGGGTATCCCAATGCAATATTCCCCTCTCAAAGATCGTCATTCAGACGTAGAGCTATAAAAAAAAAAAGATCAAAATTGAACCAAATCGTTCAATTTTTGCAGCGGACTTCTGGTTTACATCTTTCACACAATACCTGAGACCTCACAACGATTCCACGAACTCAACATTGAAGGAAAAAAACTGAACACCGATCTGTAGAAGGTACAAATGTAAGCACAGCTTAATTATTAACACCAGACATAGCATTCAAACACTAGTACAGTGCAATTGCTGGTCAGATAGGATTACTGGTTCGAATCAAGTGTTCATTACTTTGACTGTGGTGACGACAGGGATGTGTAGAACAAAATGCATTGATAACATGTGAAGATATACCAGTGAGTAGACTTTCAATGTGATATTTCTTTCATAAAACAGTGGGAAGTGTCTCTGTCCTCTTGGAGGTAATAACCCGGGGTGTTACCTATATCATAATACCAAAATATATTTAAAATATTCCATTGACTTGCATGTCCTGTATGTTTCAGTTAAAAATTATTATAGCAAAAAAAACAACAGAAAACATGTTCCATATTTGTGGAATAATTGTTTCTTTTCTTGTATAACAAAAAACACAAATATGGCATTCTGTTCATTTTAAATGATTTTTGTAAAAGACTGTAGTGGTTTTAAAGGTATCTTCCACAACATGTCCAACTCTGCTAATGGGGAAAAAGTTGTGTACCGGTAGTGGTGTTTGAATGAATTTTAAAAGCAGGTTCTGAACGATTGAAGCTTGCTGATGTGCAGTGCCTGTAATACTATAATATAAATTATGCAAAAAATGTGATATTTTATGTTCAGTAATAATTTTGCTGAAGAAAAATACTGTAAAATTACTAATTTTCACTGGGTTTAAATTTCTCTGATTTACCATTTCAGGCATATTCAGTGGGTTTTAAATTCACGGTTTCATCATTCAGATAATGTGTTCTATATGCTAAATTTTTAGTCTCTATTCTGACACAGTTTGAAAACAGGAACATATTGATTGATCTTTTAGTTAGTCCAGACCTGTATATTGGGTGTATCTCAGCTGTTCACATATAAACTTCATACACACATCATATATCTTAGGATACACATGTATAAGATCATTTCATGACATGACTTAGAGACGACGTCAAAAGATCGATGTCGGATAAAAAACTTATTTGCTTTAGTTTGGGGGTGGGGGGTTTTGACCTCAAAAAGTTTCCATCCTACAAAAACGATTTTATTTTTTAATGAAGTAAAAACAACCTTGGAGTATTTGTAGTTCGTTTTTCTCTATCCAGTCATATACAAAAATAACAGAAAATGAAAAAAAACGACATCCAAGACGAGAAAATGGTTTGGTCCGAGTGTAAATATGTGCGTCAAATGAGGTCAATTTCAGGGCATGGACCTAGAGTATGCGCAGAACCCAGAAAAGTTCTTTGCGCATGCGTATATTCCACTTCATTATTACAACTAACTGCTATGCCATACTGCTGTCCGATTATCAATTTTTATTTAATGGTGAATGTAGTCTGACGCCATGATCAATATTTATCAATTAAGTTTCAGTGGGGGGTTTGGGGGAAAAAACTAAAAGAATTAAGTTTTTTATCCGCCATCGATCTTTTGACGTCGTCCCTTATTTTTCCTGGGATGTACGAAAGTTGTTTTACTGTTCCGATTGAATAACATTTGTTTTTGTCATATATTAAATTTTTTATTATTTTAATATAATTATTATTTGTTTTAATTATATCTTTAGAGTTTACAATTATTTGCTGCATAAGTGGCTTTGAAACAAAACCTCCAAAAACAATTCTGGCATAAATTTAATTGTACATGTAACCTAAAAAAATATCATTATAATGACAAATATTTAAAGCAACCAGGATGAAAACATGTATTTTTTTAATACTGTGGAATACTTTATTTTCGCTGGAATTAATTTTCGCTGAAAAGGCTTTTTGGGCGTTTTGTATGGAATTATTTTTACTGATTTTTGATGAGTTTAATGTGAAATAAAGGAAAAAAAAAGTATATTCGCTGGATTTTATTTTCACAGAATCATCCCTTCAGCGAAAATAGCGAAAATAAAATCCAAGCGAAAATAAAGTATTCTACAGTATTGTTGTTTTATAATCCATACTGTAGACCAAATCAGATTATGATTTATCCTAGCTAAAAATGTGACATTTATAAGACATACATACCTGTATCTTAGAAATGCCTTGACCAATCACAATCAAACTTCACACATACATCATACATGATATTATACATATACACGTCAATTTGTTTCAAGATCTGATTCAAGATGGCCATTTTTGTGCTAAAAATCATCAAAATCAAGCATTTTTCGGCAGTTTACAGATGGATTTTGTTCAAAATTGGTATATACACTAGACATCATATGGCCTTGATGCACATCATTTTGTTATTCAGATAAGATTCAAAATGGCCAACTTGCGGCCATTTTGTTTTAATGAATGTGGTTCTAGTGCCATATCTCTGACTTGCTTTGACTGATTATTTTCAAAATTTAAATATTCATTATAGATCATGTCATAGATAGACAGATATATTTGTTTGATGATCCTATTCAAAATGGCCAAATGGTGGCCATTTTTGTGCTAAATATCATCAAATATCTGGCATTTATGGATGGATTTCGTTCAAACTTGGTACATACATTAGATATTACGGGTTCCTGATGCACATCATTTTTTTTCAGATCAGATTTAGATCAGATTGCTTTTATTTAATGAATGGGTTTCCAGACCCATATGTCTAACTTGTTTTAACTGATTATATTCAAATTTTTAATATTCATTATACATCATGTCGTAGATATACGGATATATTGGTTTGACGATCTTTTTCAAAGTGGCCAAATCGTGGCTATTTTTGTGCTAAAAAAATCCTCAAATATCAAGCATTTCTTGCATTTATGGATGGATTTTGTTCAAACTTGGTACATACATTAGACATTAAGGGTTCCTGATGCACGTCATTTTATTTTTCAGATTGGATTCAAAATGGCTGACTGGCGGCCATTTTGTTTTAATGATTGGGCTTCGAGAGCCATATCTCTTAAATGCTTTGACTGATTATATTCAAATTTTATATATTCGTTATACATCATGTTATATATATATATATACATGTATTCAAAATGGCGGATTTTGAATGCTGTTCCAGAGCAATATTTCTCAATATGGACAAGTACTTGTTTGACGATCAGATACAAATGTCAATCATTTTAATGTTAAAAAATCATATTCCTGACATGGTTATATTCCAGCTATATTACTATAAACAAAACTATATATCTTAAATTCGTTAACGAATAGGGACTGTGTCATGCATGGCTTGTTAATTGTTAAATTTACCAGGGAAGTGTAAATATAAAAGTATAGTTGTCCATTAAAGCTTTTGTTTTTAGCCCTTTGTAAACCTGCATGATAGGTGATTTTCTGTTCAACTGGGAGATTTCGCGAGATGCGTGAAAGACGCGGGTCGAACGTCTGCCGCAAATATCAAACGATTTGATTTTGAACTTGAATTTCTTTATTTCGTAGCTCACATCGACCGGCGGATCTTTGACAGAGGAATATTGCTTTCGAATACCCTCACTTAATCGAAATTGTATATCATGTATGTACAGCACATTATTGAGCATGGAAATGCCCCCAAAATATTTTCACGTTTGTCAAATCCCACGCGATGTTTGACGCCACTATGACGCTATGACCTTTGTTTGTCCTGTTTTTACGTTCGATTTCACACATAACGCGTGATTCTCGCAGTGAACGGAAAATGGTCTATTAATGGCACCTTACAAGGATCCGCTTTTAGACAACTTCTCAAAAAATGTTAAAAGCTTTTTTTTCATCAGAAATGTAGGTACAGTTGTATTATGATAATATGTATTACATTGCAATAGTGTGATTGCTGTATTTATTTTCATGGTTGCTCTATCACTCAGACAGCTACCAATTAAATGCTGTGCACATGTCCTAAATAAACGAATTCCCTGGAATAAACATACTCACCCTCTCAACAAATCTTCAAAATCTAATAAACATCCATCCTCCCCGAACAAATCTTCTAAATCTAATAAACATAATTCCTAGAAAATTTCCAAACTATGCAAACTTGTCACTGATGCATTTCTAGCAATATACTTAAAATATCTCTGTTTGCCAGGCCACAAGATCTAATCAAATAGCAAACCAATCCCTACTCAAGTCGCAAAATTTGATAAGTAGCAAGGACAATACTCAATTTGCGTGCTGCCTTGCATCAATAAAAATGCAAAGGCCGGTTGGCTACATTGTATAAGTTTTTCTAGCGTGGCCTTCTGAGCTGGGGAAAAGCAAGATATCGGTAATTACAAATCATCCAAGCAACGTTGGGGTTTCTTTTGGCCCCAGAACATGCATTATGACTCGGCCCTCTCTAGTTGAGGCTGTTACACCACATGCCTGCGGGCCTCCCCCAGGCAGATTTTTCGAGGGAGAATGAACGTGTCGGAACATCAACTTTGTCCTCTTGCGTGCATGTTTTAGCATTTATAAACGTCTTCACATCATAGTTTCAGACAGTACGCCGCTCATTGACCTTCGCTGCACGTCGATCTATATACTCCAGCTGTACTGTCTTCGTGCATACTTTGAGGTGTTCTCGTAATAACTTCAGAATATATTATAATAGTGCATAGTAAATATGTCACAGTTGAACCGAGTAAAGCTATAGGATTGTATGTCATATTTTAGCATATGATCCATTATACCATAGGATGCCATGTTGAACTCTTCACATAATAGCCATTTTAACCAAAAGCAACAGTGTGTATGAAGCTTGCACGATACTAATACATTTGGGATATAGTCTAGTCTTGGAGCATGAGACTTGTTTTACAAAAAGCTAAAATGCAACTCATTTTTACATCTTTAGAAGACAATCTGTAAGCAATGTTCCCAGATAAAAATTGAAAATGAAGAACATTTCTTCATAGAATGTCTTAGGTACCAAACATGATGAGATCCACTTCCAGCCCTTTGTACTTATCAGACTTTTCAAAATTGAATTGAAAACTACTATGATTTGCATGACTACTTTGTGATTCCTGTTTTGTTTGTTTTCAGATTTCAAACCAAATCCAAACTCACTGCGTTTCACAATGTTAGCCGACTGGGGTGGAATGCCTGATTCACCATATAGAACTCCTATAGAAATGGCTGTCGGCAGTGCTATGGGAGCTATAGCAGACACTTACGGATCACAGTTCACCTTGGCATTGGGTGATAACTTTTATTATGATGGAGTGCAAAATGTGGATGATCCAAGGTTTAAGGTACAGTGCATACATTTCACGCATAATAGATTCTTTCTAGAGCCCTGAAAGATCTCACAAGATTTAGCAGATGAGTGCTTCAGGCCTTATTCTGTGTGAATTCTACAGTAAGTTTTAATTGGTATGCCAAGAATGCAAAATTATGTTAACAAAAGCTGCAAATCATCAAATCTGTTACTATTTTCTTCTTAGTTTACTGTAAAATACTTTATTTTCGCTTGGAATTAATTTTTGCTGAAGGAATGATTCAGTGAAAATAAAATGAATGGAATCTTGAACTACTTATAGTATATATAGATATGATATTTGCCACTAGCTACATGTACAAATTTACTTGCAGTGGTTTTGAATAGAACCTTGTTACGAACGGGAATACGAGATAGTATAGAGATAGGAGCTGGGTGACAACTGACTAACTGGTGTTCACGTTCGTCTTGAACAAGCACAAACAAAAGAATATTAATTGGCTATGACAATACATGCTGACTATTCTAATTCTGCAGCTGGGCAAGCCTCGCTAGCTAACTGGGCATTATCAAAATACATTTATATTAACAGCAAAAATTGAATATCGTAACAACCTGTAGTACTATTAATTGTCAATTTGTGATGTTGCGTTTCAGCAGCAATATTATGCTCAATTGGGGCATTCCAGTTTATATCTGCACCTCCCACCCCTGTTGATGTGGTCGAATTTCCAGCACTGTATGATGGGGAAAATACCCCGGAAATCCAACTGTATATGGAGAAACAGAATCTCGAAATCCAGACGAGTATGAAAAAAAAAATTCCTGGAAATCCAGGCAGTTATGGCTACTAAATAAAATATGGCCTAGTTTATCTCGCCACATACCGGTTGATGAGGTTGGATTTTCAACAGTATGACTAAAAAAACTTGGAATTCTGACTGTATATAGTAAAAAAATTGGGCCAGTATGAAATAGTTATTACTGAAATTAGGTAAGGATGGTGGCACGAATGAGCTCATCAACACTGTGAATCAGGACTAGTTTGGATTTCCATTATCAAATATAAAATTTTGAAATTAGTAAAATAGAGTTATATTTGGAAATCCTACTCTGTATGGTGGCACAATGGAACTCATCAACACCATAAGTAGGAACTATAGTTTTGGATTTCCATCACTGTATGGTGAATGGTGATTTGGAAATAAAACTTTGTATGACTTATACACCCATGGAAATTATACCTTGTATGAAGTAAACACACAAGCTCATCAACAGGGGGGGGGGGGTGCAGATATAAACTGGAATGGCCCATTAAACCTTCCAAAAACAAATTCTTCTCCAAATCTTTTCTTTTTCACAGAAACATCAGTATCGTCCGATTTTTAACATTTCTATTTAGCTGAAGTTTAATATATCAGCACTATTTTTGTCGAACGCTAACCAAGTTGGTTAGCACTGACTGAAATTGTGTTATTATAAACTTGCACGATTCTGATTGTGATCAGTCCATTTTCCCACTGACTGACATAAAGTAAGGATGCTTATGTTTTAGTTAATTTCAGCAGCACCAAATTTTAAGTATTTACAATTCACTACACTGACCACCCTCCTTGTGTTTTGCAAGTTGCAAGCAATCTTGCTATTAATCTAATTGTCTGTAAAAACTTGCTGTTGTAAAATGTTTCTCATCTCGGTAAATTATTAATGTAGAAATAGTAAATATGGCGATGAATAATCTCACTCGCTATGACAACGCTGTCAGAAATTATGAGAAAGTCAAAATTCAAGTGATTCAGAATCCTCTAAACTACAATGTATTGCCATGCAAATCAGCTGGAAATCACGCAAATCAGCTGGAAATCACGCAAATCAACTGGAAATCATGCAAATCAGTTGGAAATCATGCAAATCATTAAAAATCAGTTGACACCAATAGAAATATAATTGTAGCAATAAAAATAATAAATTATTTCTTTCTGGTTCTGTCAGTTGAGGTATGTACATGTTCAGCAACATGTTTTACAGTTTTTTATTAGTCATCAGGGTAGCGATCTTTTTTCGATGTTCTCTTTTCCATTTTATTTTCAAAATGTAGCAGTGAATATTGTGAGGATGAAAGCGATACGATGTTACTTGATTGAAGTATGATCTGATCACATGACTGGACACATACACGCAATGTTTAACTACAGGATTATGCTAATTACAACAAATGTTGTCGTTTTGGCTTAGAAGGGCTTAGCTGAAGTGGCACATACATGTACATGTACCCCAGATTTCCATTAATCATGTATATTTTAATTCTTTAATAATTTAATTTAATGAAGATAAAAAAAAACAGATCATGTAGCTGCCTGTAGATACTAGTTGCTGTTTAAATAAATAAAAAAAAAGCACTACAAAAGTCTGCTACATCCTTAAAACAGCGTCCTAGTAACTCTAGCAAAATGTTGTGATTGCCATTAAATCTTCTTTTTTAGCTATATGATTATGATTCAAACCTGGTACTTATCAGTAGCGAAAGGAATAGAGAAATTTCATTTGCCCTTGAGGCAGTACAATATACATCATGCAACAGAATCAGTACAATTCCCAGATTATGTACTTTTTCTTCTCTCTCAATTAAATTCCTTTCATGTGTTATTTCTTACAGAATACATTTGAAAATGTATTTGTGTCAAAGTCATTACAGAATCCATGGTATTTTATTGCTGGTAATCATGATCATAATGGAAATATTTCAGCACAAATAGACTATTCTAAGATATCGCCTCGTTGGTAAGTATATATCTACACTATATATAATATATTTTGTTACATTATCTGTGGTCAAAAGACATTAAATATAATAAAACACAAGTACACACACGAGACAAAAGAAAATACATAAATAACTAAAGTCTAAGTAAAATTACTTATAGTAAAATAGTATGCTGTCAATAAATTTGCTAGCACTATTGGCAATGAACCCATCTCTCGAACTTAAAATTTCTGTAAACATTTGTTGTTTTGATAGTTTAAGGATACTTTCATTATAAATGCTAACTACATTCAGAAATTCAGTACGAGCATTTGTTATTCCAGTATGGTTACAGTCTAAAAGTGCATGGATTCATGCCAATA